CAAACGAATAACAATGGACCGCAATGACCTCCCACGAAACTGCTCTATCCAAGAAAGGGTATCTGACCAACTTCGCTGAACCCAAGGCAGGTTAGAATTTGCATGCAAAGCATGCCAAACACGCTCAGAAAATGGGCAAGCAAAAAAAAGATGATCCAAGTCCTCCTCCAAACATCCACACAACGTATAGACTGTACCAAACCAAAGCGAAACAGCTTTGTCTGTGTATAAAGGCCACCCTGAATTGCTAGCCAAAGAATAAATGCATGACGGGGAATATACTTAGGAAACCATACAATGTGATATCAAGTCACCCTAGGGCAACGAAGTCGAACAGACTCCCAAGCACTCCTAACAGAGAAGACTCCGTGCACATCATCCACCCATCGTAAGACATCCTCTCTAGTACTACCCGGCCGAAAAGTATCAAGTGTATCTTGCATTAGATCAGACAACACTGCGGAACGAGCTGATGGCCACCTCCAACTATTACCCTCAACAATATCATCCACCTTAGCTAATCTACTTAATCTAGATTCATGAATGATCCTCTCACCAAGAATCTTCTGTAAAGGGCCAAGAGGATGCCAATTATCAAACCATAGAGAAGCACGTCTACCTTTACCAATTATAAATCTCATTTTGTCCCTCCCTATCTCCCGAAGTGCAAGAATCTTCCTCCAGTTCCAAGAGCAATCCTCAGGACACTTCAATTCCCAAATGCTTCGACCTTTAATTAAGTAACTTCATACCCACGAACCCCAAAGAGAAGAGGCAGAATCCGTACAAATGGACCAAAGGTGTTTTAACATAGCAGCTTTATTCCAAATCTCTATGCTCCGCAAACCCAAACTGCCCTTCTTCTTAGGCATACAAATTTTCTCCCACCCTACTTTAGTCCCTCCGGTGCCAAGGTCACAACCCTTCCACAAGAAGGCACGTAGAGTAGCTTTCACTTGCTTGATCACGGCCTTAGGTAAAATAAATATGGAAGACCAATATACCTGAATAGAAAATAATACGAACTTAATAAGTTGTAACCTTCCCGCATAGGAGAGTGCTTGACAAGTCCAACTCTTAGCCCTAGCTATAATACGATCAACCAACATCTTACAGTCCAAAGCCCACAAATTGGTAGAGATAAGTAGACTGCTAGAACTCCCTCCTTATACCCCAAAACATCAAGCAGCTAATCCTTAAGATATGGAGAAACTCCACTAGCAAATAAATTACTCTTATCGGGATTAGGAATAAGACCGGAAAGAGCTTTGAATCGATTAAGGCATTCCCCAATGAGAGAAACAGAACCTACCTCAGCTCTACAAAAGATCATAAGGTCGTCGGCAAAACATACGCAGGTGATCTTCTCTTTCTCACGCCTCCAGTGGTACTTAAAAAATCCTGCTTTGCAACCATCAACCCCATTATCCCTGAAAATACCTCCATTGCCAATACAAACAAATATGGCGATAACAGATCTCCCTGTCTCAAGCCTCTCCCACCAGCGAAGAAACCATGTAACTCGCCATTAATGGAAATCGAAAACTTAGTGGTAGTGACACATTCAGTAATCCACAAAACAACCCTTTCCGGAAAACCAAGCACCCTTAAAACTGCAAAGAGAAAATCCCAACGAACAGAATCATAGGCTTTCGTGAGATCAACTTTAAGAGCACACCTAGGCAGTCCTCCACAACAGTGATAATTCCGTAATAGCTCTTGGGAAAGAAGGATATTATCGCTAATATGCCTCCCTTTAACAAAAGCAGTTTGTTGAGGTCCAATAATGTCTGGAAGCACCAGCTTAACTCTATTGGCAATAAGCTTAGCAACACATTTATAAATAGTATTGCAATATGAGATAGGCCTAAAGTCACTTACCTAGAAGGATTTGGAACTTTAGGAACCAATGCGATGATAGTAGCATTGACTTGCTTCAATAGTTGCCCCGAGTCAAAGAAAGACTTGATGGCATGTAGAACATCATTCCCCACAATATTCCAAGTCCTCTTGAAGAAACCTGCATTAAAACCATCGTGCCTTAGAGCCTTGTTGTCTTTCAAAGAGAACAAAACCTCCTTAATCTCCTCAAACGTCACATCTCTATCAAGGGTTTCATTCTGCCCCGCTGAGATACTCTTAGGAAGAGCTCTTCGAAGCAAGTCCATATCCAGACTCTCACCACTAGGCTGCCGTCCAAGGAGATTTTGATAGAATTCAACAATAACTTTACTAACCTCATGCGGTTCCTCCACTCTAGTACCATCATCTCTACAATTGGAAACCACCTTATTCCTGCCATAGTGACTTTTCATAGCCTTGAAGAAGAAAG